ACTAAAAGATAATAATTTTTTAATAAGTTTGTTAAATTATATGTTGAATCAAAAGATATACCAAATATTATCCCTCATCCCATGGTCTCTACTTGACAATTTGATATAATTCAAATTATAAAACATAAAACTCATATAATGTAATCTATATATAGCAAATATATATAAGCTGAAGTAATTAATATACATTTTCCATATTTTTCTTAATTGTGGAAGCATTAATTTCCTTTTTCCATGCAAATAATGATGGCATATATGATAGAATATAATTTTTCGTTTTTTCATCCTTCACCCCACTCATTCTAAACTTCAAAATCAAAATCTTCAACTCAAGCTCTTTATTGCTTAACGGTGGAAACATCCTTTATATTAAAGGTATCATACAGTTATTTGACAAGATAATGAAATGAAAAATAATTGATATACTTTTTAATTCAATATATTTACCAACAGTTACTGATTCAGTTATTAAAATAATCAATTTTGAATTTTTTTGCCTTTAATTAAAATTTAATGTAAAAAAAAAAAGATGTTGTTGCTGTAGTTGACATGATTAGTCATGAATCTATTGCATTATGAGTAAAGATAGAATCTTTTGTGGTTTGGCATTTATGGACTGAGGTTTTCCCATTGATGGGAGATTGATGATTTTCCTATATATCCATTCCTCTGCAAATGGCCGTGGAGTGGAGAGAGCATCCAACTTAATGCACACTTTATTTCCATCTGAGATCTTATAATAAAAATTAAAAAAATCAGATTGGTGAGCAGCAACTTTTTTGGTTCTTGTCACACAAGTTGTGTTCCTCAACAGTTGAAGAAAATAATTGCTCTTTCCAAACTCATAACTTCGTAGACATAAAATGTTCCTCGGGCATTCAATGAATGGCAATTTTTAGACAGTACTTACTTAAAATGGGTATGACATGTTCTTTCTTGTTCTTTAGATACAAGATGTGGGTCTGGTTATTTCCAACATTAAAGTTGTTAAGGATATTAAATTTTTTTTCTTCAATAATGTTTGAAAATATCAATTCATTGATTAATTTTAATTTATCAACTAATAAATGTCAATTGTTATGTTAGTTATTAATTACAATTATTAGTAATTTTTATTAGTCAAATTAAACAAAATTAGTATTTTTAAAGATAATATTTTATAGTTTTAGATGCCATAATAATAATGTTGGTAGTCATAATTGTACTCACAAAATATGAGATGTACATTAGAAGTAGAAGATAATTTTTTATTAAATTAAATAAAATTAAATAAGGAGTCTTACTATCCTCCAAATGCATAATCTTATTTGACATTTAGAGAGTAGAGATTGTTATTTATTGGATTATCTGTTCTCTTTAAAGCTTGACGTAACAATTAAGAAGGTCTAGTAACTTCCAAAGCACACTAGGGCTTTCTTTTTACTTTTTTATCATTGCTAACAATTGCCAAGGCAATTTCTAAGTATAAGTGATTCTCTACACTTAATTATCCTTATTAATTATGAGTATAGTTTTCATTTATATTTAATGCTACAGATTATAACTTCAACTTGACTTTAAGCGCCTTTATATATATATAGGGATTCATAAGTTATCTTTGTCAATTAATAAAACATCTCTATTTCTCATTTTTTTTTTAAAATTAAATAACCAGCCTTACTATCCTCGGGGAGTTTTTGTTGAATTAAGGGTTGCAAGAAAATTAACAATAATTTATCTAATTTTTCATCTTGCACTAAATTTCTGTTTGATTATTGATCATATAGACCAAACCACATAAACTTGGCATGTATCATATATCATCAATTTTCCAAACCTGCCAACGCTCTAAAATGTAAATTGTTAACTTCTCTCTGCTCATGTGTCTACTAAGCCCCCAAGAATCAGAGAAATTTTATCCTTCTAGACATCTTAGATTGAAAAAAGAATCTGAAGATTCTTGACGTACATAACCTTAATGGATTAAGTACCCAAAAGAAGAATTTAAGACCAAACCAACTGTAATAGCTTTCATGGATTATTCCTAGGGAAGACCCTTAACTAGAGGTGCCCATAATTTGCTAGGTAATTCACCGTCAATCCCCTAACTAGACTTTGTTAAAATAAAATTCATACTTTCTTAATTTGTAATCTGGCCCCAGTTTAGCAAATGGGAAAGCGACTCCCCTCCTTCCCAAAAGAAGAAAATAAAAAAGATCTTCGTGGATCCAAGTGCTAGTCAAATTCACGTAAATAATTGGGAGGGTATATAACGACAATTAGAAAGTTGATAACACTCTTACGAAACTCAAGTGATTAAAACATATGATTTGATGATTTAAGCAAGCAATTAGCAGAAAGATGAAGGGATATTTAAGTCTCCCCAAAAGGCATATTAAGGCTTTCAAATGATAGCTGATTGATTTGCTTAAGCATCAAATTAGTCACTAATCAATACATGTTTAGGCTTCATACCTCAGTCCAAAAAATTGTCATTATTGGTGATGGTATATGACATTAGAGGGACCTACAGAGATGAGAATCTAATCTTCCAGGCAATACTTCCTTAATCAGAAGGAAAATGATTACAAGATAATTTTTATATATAATTTTTTTCATACAATTTTATATTTATTAAATGATTGACTCTTTCTACTTTACTTAGACTCCAAACATGTAAAAGTTTCAAAGAAAAATTATAGAAATTAATAAGTTGTCTCCACATCATTACCCTAATCAAAATTCATCAATTTTAAGCACTTGATGTGTGATTAATCAGGCTCTAATTCATGTTTTCACATTTTTTGGAAACCAATTGCCAGTTTCCATTTTCAAAATTCTACTAAAGAATGCATGCACTTTGGGAGTTATGAGAAACATCCTCTGTGTTTGATTTTACATTGTTGCCTAACTACTCATTTCATTAATAAAACGCAATGAACTTTGCCTAGTATGTTAACCTGTGTCTGAGGTTAGAAAGAAATAGAGATTCTTTCATTAATTTGATTAAAGAGATGGGTAGTTATACGAAATTTCTTTGCTTTGCCATGCAGACAAGGCATGTGGGTTTTGAGGTTCAATTAGACCCACCGCTCAACTTTTTTAATCAGTGCAAAAGAAAATAAAGAAGAGAGATGATCAAAATATTAGGAATTTGTTCTGTTTAAAGGGATGCGCACTTGTTCAGTCCCATCTATATAAAGGCATAGGTAAGCTCTAGAGAACTCAATGGTTCATCTCATGATTTCCTTTTCATCCTCTTACCCAGCCGTATGCATGCATGCATGCATTAATTAAAGCCAGATGGTAACCCTCTTTCTCTTGAGAGCAGAGGTAACAAATAAATTTAACTTTGGCAAAAAGGTCAAAATCAGTCCTCAAACTTGTCAACTTGATTAAATCAGCCACCAAATTAACTTATTTTAGAGAAACAATCAGCCCTTAAATTTCTGGAGACTTGAGTCACATCAACCCCTTGCTTTCCTATTCTAAGTTTTCCTGTTGGGTTAGGTAACTTAAGGTTACTGATGGAAAAG